CCATGGCCTCGGCTAGCACGGCATGCCACGACCTCGGGCCGCATGCCTTGCCACGGCATTGCCGAGCATGCCATGCGACAACGTTGCCCAACTTGCCAAGCCTTAGGCTTCGCCAACATGCCGTGCCATGACCTCGGCTCGCATGGCATGTCGCAGCATTTCCCAGAACGCCAAGGCCGGAATGCCTTGCCACGGCCTCACCCCGCATGCCAGGCCACGGCCTCGCCCCACATGCATTGCCATGGCGTTGCCCAGCATGCCGTGCCACATCGTTGCCCAGCGTGCCATGCCACGGCCTCAGCCCGCATGCCTCAGCCTCAGCCCGCATGCCTTGCCACGGCATTGCCCAGCATGCTATGCCACAACATTGCTCAGATTGCCATGCCTCGGCCTTGGCCAACATGTCGTGCCACGGCCTCGGCCCACAGGGCATGTTACAGCGTTGCCCAGCATGCCAAGGCCAGAATGCCGTGCCACGGCCTCGGCCCGCAAGCCGTGCCACGGCATTGCCCAGCGTGCCATGCCTTAGCCTTGGCCAGCATGCCATGCCACGGCCTCGGCCCGCATGGCATGCTACAGCGTTGCCTGGAATGCCAAGGCTGGAATGCCATGGCACGGCCTCGGCCAGCATGCCACGCCACAGTGTTGCCTAGCATGCCAAGGCCGGAATGCCATGGCACGGCCTCGGCCCAGAAGCCCTGCCACGGCCTCGACCTGCATGCCATGCCACGGCCTCGGCCTGCATGCCTTGCCACGGCGTTGCCCGGCTTGCTGTGCCACAGCGTTGCCCAGCGTGCCATGCCACGGCCTCGGCCCACATGCCTCGGCGCCGGCCCGCATACCTTGCTACGGCATTGCCCAGCATGCCATGCCACAACGTTGCTCAGCGTGCCATGCCTTAGCCTTGGCCAACATGCCATGCCACGGCCTCGGCCCGTATGGCATGGTACAGTGTTGCCCAGCATGCCAAGGCTGGAATGTGTGCCACGGCCTTGGCCCGCATGTCGTCCCATGGCGTTGCCCAGCGTGCCATGGCTTAGCCTTGGCCAACATGCCAAGCCACGGCCTTGGCCCCAGCCCGCATGCCATGCCACGGTGTTGCCCAGCGTGCCATGCCACAGCGTTGCCCAGCGTGCCATGCCTTAGCCTCGGCCTGCATGCCATGCCACCGTGTTGCCCAGCATTCCGAGGCCGGAATGCCATGCCACGGTCTCAGCCCGCATGCCATGCCACGGCCTTGGTCTGCATGCCACGCAACGGCCTCGGCCCACATCCCTTGCCACAGCGTTGCCCAGCGTGCCATGCCTTAGCCATGGCCTCGACCAGCACGGCATGCCACGGCCTCTGCCCGCATGCCTTGCCACGGCGTTGCCAAGCATGCCACGCGACAGCGTTGCCCAGCTTGCCATGCCTTAGGCTTGGCCAACATGCCATGCCATGACCTCGGCCCGCATGGCATGTCGCAGCGTTGCCCAGCATGGCAAGGCCGGAATGCCTTGCCACGGCCTCGCCTCGCATGCCATGCCACGGCCTCGACCCGCATGCATTGCCCTGGCGTTGCCCAGCATGCCGTGCCACAGCGTTGCCCAGCGTGCCATGCCACGGCCTCGACCCGCATGCCTCGGCCCCGGCCGGCATGCCTTGCCACGGCGTTGCCCAGCATGCCATGCCACAGCGTTGCTCAGTGTGCCATGCCTCAGCCTTGGCCCACATGCCGTACCACGGCCTCGGCCCACAGGGCATGTTACAGCGTTGCCTAGCATGCCAAGGCCGGAATGTCGTGCCACGGCCTCGGCCCGCATGCCGTACCACGGTGTTGCCCAGCGTGCCATGCCTTAGCCTTGGCCAACATGCCATGCCACGGCCTCGGCCCTCATGGCATGCGACAGCGTTGCCTGGAATGCCAAGGCCGGAATGCTATGGCACGGTCTCGGCCCGCATGCCACGACACAGCGTTGCCCAGCATGCCAAGGCCAGAATGCCATGGCACGTCCTCGGCTCGGATGCCCTGCCACGGCCTCGGCCCGCATGCCTTGCCACGACGTTTGCCCGGCATGCCAAGCCACAGCATTACCCAACGTGCAATGCCTTAGCCTTGGCCAACATGCCATGCCATGGCCTCGGCCCGCATGGCATGCTACATCGTTGCCCAGCATGCCAAGGCCGGAATGCCATGCCACAGCCTCAGCCCGCTTGGCACGCCCCGGCCTCGTCCCGCATGCCATGCCACGGCCTCGGCCCGCATGCCTGGCCACGGCATTGCCCAGCGTGCCATTCCTTAGCATTGCCCAACATGCCATGCCACAGCGTTGCCCAGCGTGCCTTGCCTTAGCCTTGGCCAACATCCCATGCCACTGCTTTGGGCAGCCTACCATGCCACAGCGTTGCCCTGCATGCCATGCCACGGCCGTGGCTAGCAAGGTAAGCCACGACATTGCCCAGCATGCCAAGGCGGGCATACCATGCAACGGCCTCGGCCCGCATGCCTTGCCACGGCATT